GCATGAGGAAGACTGAGACTGTTGGAAGAGGAAGGTTGCTCTGCCTCTCCATCACCAGAGGCTCATTAAAGTGGCTCCAGAGGAGCAGCAGCTTCCAGGAGCCAGGCACTATGCTGGGCACTTCCCATGCTGGAATGGCGTGGTCTGAATGTTGAGGCTTGGGAAGGTACAGATATAGAAGATGGCGTGTCACTAAAGCTGACAGAACCCAGGTGGCAAGGAACAATGTGACAATGTGCCAGGTGGATCTGGAGGTAGGGGACCAGTCTGATTGCAGCTGAAAATGCGACTGTTAGCGTTCTGTCTAAACTCCACCCCACAGTTACCTGGCAATATCCAGGCTCCCCCTCTGTCCCCTTCCCCCTCTCTTCACGTGCTCATGGCCAGTCTCTCTCTCTTCTCTCCTCTCTCTCTCTCTCTCTCTCTCTCTCTCTCTCTCTCTCTCTCTCTGCCTCTACTACCCTCTTAACTCCCCTCCCCATTCCCTGAATAAACTCTATTCTATACTATACCTTCATGTAGCTTGTCCCCTGGGGGAAGGGATGCCTCCGCATGGGCCCGCTGAGACATCCCCTTCCCCCATACCTCACCACACACCCATAGAACATATTCTAGATCTCTTTATCCTTTTATAAACATATCACTGGTGACTCAGATGTAGACAATCTGCAGGTTTGCATCCCACCTCAGGGACAGTGGGAGATGAGGCTCACAGTGGACGGGTCAGATACCACGAATGCTAGACTTCATGCTCCATAGACGAGCCTTTCCCATGAAGCCACAGGGAGCCCTGGGAAGAGGCTGGTGGCACAAAGCACATTTTAGGGCACATGCTTAAAGTCAGCAGGCAGAGTGTTAGGAAGCTGGACTCTATCTCTGACTTAAGAGTATAGTGTCCTATTTATTTACGAAACAAGGTCTCATGTAGTTCCAACTGGCCTTGAACTCACAGATCTTGGCCTGCCTCTACCTTCCAAGTGTTGGGATGAAGGGTATGTGCCAGTGTGCCCAGGCCTACTAGAGGTTTTGTTTGTTTCAAGTTCATTTTTGAGTGCTTTCCCTGCATGTCTGTATACTTGGTACCTGAAGAGTTCAGAGAAGGAGTTGGATGCCTCAGAAATTATAATTATAGGTGTTTTCAAGCCTCTATGTGGGTGCTAGAAACCAAACCTGGGCCCCTGGAAGAACAAAGGCTCTTAACCATTGAGGCATCTCTCCAGCTCCAAGTAGAGAGTTTTACAAAGATGAGAATCTTTAGACAGATAGGGGAACGTGTTTACTGCCATACGAGCAGCTCATTTCATGCATTTGTTTGACCTGGTTGGCCCTCTGGGTATCAGTTTGAAACTCCAGGTCTACACAGTGCTAATGTAAGATCACTGAGGATGGGGACAGGCATAAAACAAAGGAGAGGAAATGCAGAAAGTAGCTAAGGAAAAGGTCTAGGAAGAACAGTAAATATGTAAATTTGAAATGTAATTAAAGCAGGAAAGGAACTTGATAAAGGAAGCATGTCACTCAAGATGCATTAACTAACTAGAAATGTAAAAAGCAGTCTAAAAACAAGAGACAAAAATGACACCATCTGGTACACATTAAAAATGGGCAATCCCAGGGGTTTCCTCAGGGACTAGTTAGAGCACTACATAAACCAGGGGTCAACCACTCCCGCCCATGAGGTTCTTGGAAGGCAAAATGTCTTCAGTGAGCAAGCTATCCCTCTGCTTCCCTAGAAAGAGCCCTTCTGAGCAGCCCTGCCATGGCTGCTGTTTCTATGATTTCTTTTCCCAAGATCCACATGCTCAGCACAAAGGTCAAAGGTCTCAACCACTCAGATCTCCCCAACCCCAACAGTTAATTTAAAATTTTAGTTTAGTTTAGTTTTGAAGCAGGCACTATGCAGCCCTGGCTAGCCTGGAACTCACTATTTAGATCAGGCTGGTCTGCTTCTGAGTGCTGGGGTTAAAGGCATGTGCCACCAAGCCCAGCTTTACCTGTATTTTTAATCATTACATCCGGTGGAACTCAATGGAAGTCAGTCACAAAAATTATTAAATGTGGGTGTTAGCATTCTGCCTCTACTACCCTCTTAACTCCCTTCCCCATGCCCTGAATAAACTCTATACTATTCTATACTATACTGTACTGTACTATACTATACTGTACTATACTATTCTACACTGGTCCCTCAGGGGGAAGGAATGCCTCAGCATGGGCCCTCTGAGACATCCCCTCCCCCTACACCTCACCAAATCCCCATAGAACATACCCCCCATTTCTTTATCTTTTTAAAAACACATCAGTGGGGATAAATGAGTAGCTGTAACTTCTTGTCTGACACTGCACAGAACTAGCTTTTTTTCTTATAAAAATCTATGAAATAAACCAGGTGTGGTGTCACACACTTACAATGTTAGTCCTAGGGAGACTACTGAGGCAGGAGGATTGCAAGTTAAGGGACAGCAGGCTATGTTACCTAGAGAGACTTTCTCAAACCACTAAAATTGTGGGCCAGAGTTGGCTCAGTAGGTAAAGGTGCTTGCCAAAACCTGACAACTTGAATTTGACCCCCCAGGTTCCCATAAGTGCCATCAGACCTGTGGCACATGTGTACCCAAACCCACACAGAATAAATGAAATTAATAAAAATTAAAATAAAAAACTCAAAATCTATAAAATGAAGATAAGTGTGTCTGATTGCTTCCTAAACAGTGGGGATAGCACTGGGGAGCAATGGGTCACGGATTTTTTTTTTAATAAGAAAAGCCAGCAATGCTTCAGATATTCGGCTATTACTCGGCAAAATTATTCTTGGGTTTGAAAAGAGCTTTTCAAGTCTAGAAAGTTTCATTTCCACATGCCTCTATACTCACTAGCTCAAACACTGGAGCTGATTTTCCTTCTCTCTGAGAGGAACTTTATTTCACTTCATAATAAGAGGCTGTCCATGTAAAAACAAGTGCTACTGGAGCCTAACTGAGTGTTGCAGAGTGAGAAAAGCTGGCAGAGAAAGACACAAGCTCCCTACCACCAGGTGGTTAAGAGCTTCAAGCAGAAGAGGGCCCTGAGAGGTCAGAGTCCCTGGCAGATGCCACAAGAGGGACTAACAGTGACAGGCTGCAGCACATGGTTAAACTACCCCTCTGTTGAGCTGTTGGGAACCACAAGAACAGGGAAGCCAGACACAATCAGTTGTTACTCAGCTGTGACAGGAGGGAGCTCCATAAACCCAAGGTTCTCATTAGACTCTATAGCACCCAACAGTGCAAGATGGATGACTGTAGACATTTAGTGCAAGTATAAAGCACAAGCTGGTCTAAAGCACATTTGTACTTCAGCCAAAACTTACGTTTTCAGAATCTAATTATTAAAAACTTTAAAAGTAGGGGCTGGGGTGTGTGTAGCTCAGCGGCAGAATGTTGCCTAGCACACGCAAGACTCTCGTGAGCTATCCTTAATACAAACAAACCAAAAGTGTGCTGCACTCCAGTAATCCCAGCACTTGAGGGTTGGGGAGGGGCAGGCAGGCAGAGGATCAAAACTTCAAGGCTACCTTGAATGTTGGAAGCCAGCCTGGGCACATCACTGTCAGTTCTATTGCTTCTCAAAAACTATTCTGTAAGTTGTGCTGAGGTCTATACAATACAAGAGCCATTTTAACCCTTTTACATTATATTCCAGATGCTGTACGACCATCCCTACCACATAGTATCTAACTATTCCAGACTGAGCAGACACTCAGTATACTCCGAGAAATGATTCTGATAAAAGAAAATTAAGACACGAATATCACAGTTTTGTGGAAGCTATCTGACAATCAGGGACTCTGGTAAGAGCAAACATGAGAATAACTACTGAGCTTAAGGTTTTACTTTAAAAAAAATCTAATTTTGTCAAAGAAAGAAAAAAATAGTTTATAGGGAATTAAACAGTAATAGATCAATGGTCCCAGGAAGCCTGTCACAGAGCTCTGTTGTCACATAGGAGTTGCTACGTATTTTTGCTTTATTTTTCCACTGTCTTCCTGAAGTCATCTTTTTCAAAGGTAATGCTGTTAGAACACAGTGGCTATCCAAGAGAATCTTAGAGGATTGAAACAATGTTTCACTATGTCTGAGGCCAGCCTCAAACTCAGTGACTCTCCTGCCACTGGGCAGGGTTTACAGATGTGAATGAGGTCAAGGGTCAACCAAACGGAGGCGGGGGTTGGGGGGAGACCTGTGACAACACATGACACACTCAGAAACACTGGCCTCAAGTTTTCCAGTACAAGCAGGCTCAGAGAGATATAACGTAGGCCCAGGAGGCTGGTGAACCTGGGGGCCCCGCCCTGGAGCTCCCCAGTGTGACTCTGCTCTCCTGCTGTCCCCCTTAGGATATCTGCTATGGATTTTACCTCTGTTTTCCTAGACTTACTTATTTTATCCGCCCCCGCCCCCCCCCCCACAATAGCTTTTTATTTTTTTTCTTCCCAGGACTTTTAAAATTCTCTTATGACATAAAGGACAACAGTCATCTTTCTCTCTTCTCTCTTTTTTCTTCTTCTATTTAATAGATTACAAGCCCACCAAGCACCTCCCAGTGTCATTGTCAGAAAAGCTTTCCACTATTCTGTCAAGGCTGCTTCTGGTGATCTAGAGATGCATGGTACTACACTGGAACACATACACCATCTCATTTCCTGTGAAGGTGAGGAGAAAGACTCATCATCGAGTGTGACCAATCTTGTCTTCATCTGAGACCCTGAGAATGCTAAACTGAACTCACAAGGTTGAAAAAGAAATATGGCGTTGGTAACCGTGCCTCTGTGTCTAGAGGCAGAAGACATAGCTTCCTGAACTGTACACACTGCAATGACTGAACACCATCTATTTGACACATACAAGTAATTCAATAATTAATGTTTATGTTAACAGAACTGTCCCCTTAAGCTTAAAACCAAAGCAACATTTTCACATGAGATTGCATCTTACTCTAGCTGTACTTCGTCTCTGATTTACCTCTGCGATCTCTATTTTCTTCGCCAGATCATCAAGGGAGAGTGTGCTCTCCTCAGGAGGCAGATTCTCCTGGAGACTGTAGGATGCTTCTTCAGGAGAGAGGTCTTGGAGGAGGTCAGAGTCGTCGTCCTGGATATCCTCATAGGACAGGGGATCTTCGGCATCCTTTAAGCATCCTTCCAAAAGGCTGTTTAGATAGTCTTCCGTTTCCTTACTCACTTGGTCTTCCCTAACCCGACTTTCTTCTGGGGCCATACACACTTCAGGACACAGTGTGCTTACATCAGAGGCTTTCCTGTCATCACAAAGTATACTCTTGGAACCGGCCTCCAAGCCAGCCTGATGCTGTGCTGATTTACCATCACTGGCAGTGACATCAGCCTGCCGTGGCTCGGCTGGCTCCCAGTTCTGAGGCTGGTCCCTGGGCAGCGCTTCAAATGCGTCCTGCAGTGGAAGGCAGAGTTCTTTTCGGTGTGTCTGTGAATATTTACCCTCTGAAATTAACCCAGGCGGTGCAGTGTTGCCTCCGCTCAGGAAGAGCTGCGGCTCTGTCACTGACTCATTAGGAGGGGCCACCTCAGGATCTCTGGCCACATGGGGGTGGTCCTCTGAGGGAGGTGCCTGCACACAGCTGCTGTCCTCACAGGCATTCTCAGCAGCAGCTGGCCCTAACCTGCTCCCTGCAGCGCTCTCTGGGGATTGGGTGTGGAGCTCCAGTGTGGCATTGGTGCTGCAGGGCGGCTCCTCCAAGTGGTCCTTCCCTGCAGTTCCTGGAAGGTCGGGGGAAGCTGCCTGCCAGTCCATCTGATGACAGCCGGGGCTGCTCTCCTGGGGCTCCTCCTCAAGCCGGCCTCCACTCGGATCCATGCTGGGACAGGTTTCAATCTCTGAAGAAGAATAAGCTGCTTTTGAATTCCAAACAATGCTTTACATACAAAGGTAGAGGGGGCCACATGAGTACATGTGTGACACAAAATTATTCAAACCCTTTCACACTGAAATGCTATCTGTTACACTGCAGTGTCCTTAGGTAGAACACACATGCTAAGTGGTTAATAAATAGTATTAATGTAGTGAAAAATAATGATTATTAAAAAGCATATTAAAATAAATGAATGATTCAGTCCTCATAAATAAAAAAGTTTAAATTCTGAATGTTTTGGTCTTTTATATTACAATGAATACACTTATTGTTTTTTTAAATGTACTGAACTAGAAAACTAGTGTCTACTTAAGGCACGATAATATTGAGTAAGTATTTGGTAATCTTACTAATATAAAAATGTAAATAGAGTGAAGTTGATTCAGAATGAAGGACAGAAAGTCTGTTGGATTAGACCTGTAATTTGAACACTGCACCTTTAAAAATGTGCTTTCCGAGCTGGAACAGCTTCTTAGTGCTCAGGACAAAGCGGAACATACAAAGAAGACATTTGACAAGAAGCAGAAACAGGTTTGAATTTCGGCCTTTCAATACTTTTTTTAAAAACCTTAAAGGAGTTTCCATCTGTACCACAGAGAGCACAGCAGAAGTCAGGTCAGATGCAGTGACCAGGTAGTGCGGGCTGCACGCAGGGCCGGGCTGCACGTAGTGCTAAGCTCCAGTGTCACACTCAGCAATCTTCTCAACACATACAACATGGAGGCACGGCCACACTCAAACTGTGTGACATGGAGACCATCCTTCATCTTGAAGGTAATAGTGCAAGCGTGTATGTGGGGACACGCACTCAAGGCAGGGTCTTCTAGAGCTCGGGGCGGCTTGAGCTCACCCTGGAACCAAGGAGGACGACTTTGAGTCCCTGCTCTCCTGCCTGCACCTCTCATTTCTGGGATTATAGGTGTACATCACCACATCTATTAAGTTGCAATAAAGCTTAATTTACCCTGGTTTCTGATATTAAAAAAATGACTAGAAAAGAGACACAAAAAACTGAGCATGTATGGTTGACACAAAGCAAGATCCCTAATTTGTGTTGTAAGAGAAAAGGGAATGAAGATTTCAAACTGACTTTACAAGAGCTTTTATAGAGCAGAGAGTCAGTGGATGGCAACAACCGTATCTTTACTGTCAGGGATGTTCACTCAAAACTCTTGTCATCTCTTTTTAAAACATTTCAGGCCCAGGATCATAAGGTTCATTATACAAATTGATAATAAAATCATCATCAGGATAAAAAAAATTCTGAAAATGTATTTATTCTTAAAGCTTTGTAAATGCATTTAGAAATGTTTCCTAAACTCTTTTTGATACAAAGCACAAAGTGGTATGAATCTCTCTCTCTCTCTCTCTCTCTCTCTCTCTCTCTCTCTCTCTCTCTCTCTCTCTCTCCCCCTCTCTCCCTTCCCTTCCCCCATCCCCCTCCCACACAGAGTCACAGACAGACAGACAGACAGACACACACACACACACACACACACGCACACACAGCTAGGCTTATAGAACAGGTTGGTACTTGGTTAATCTGTTCAGTAATAGTGTTTTTTGTTGTTGTTTTTAAACAATAAAGAATGTCCAAACACACCAAAGCCATTTCAGACCATTTACTATAATCATTTTATATTATGTTTTCCATACTGACATTAGAGAACATATTTAGGTTTTTAGAGAATTTATATTCTATTACTTCTAGTTATCTAAAATGGAAATACATATAAAAATATGGGTTTTCTATTTTTTAAAAGTATATGTACAAAAAACATAAATACAAAAAAATCTAACCCAGCACTTCAGATCTAACACTTTAAATACCACAGGGAACAGGGCTCCTCTGTTCCTCTCTAGGATTCTCTGCAACGGACCTGGCTCTTTGGCTGCTGCTCCTCTCTCCAGTGGCTCCTCAGACACTGTTGCCCTGGGAAAGCTTTTCCTCCCTGGTGAGTGTTCCACAGGTGCTATCTAAAAAGTTTTTAAAAAGGAAAAGATGGTCACCACTTTTCTGAGAAACTTGTATTAAGCTAGAAAACTGCAAGCATGCTGGGAAGGTTTTCTAGCTCAGTCCAGCCCACAGCGTAAGGTGCTGACATGCTCCCCATGAATGCTTCCAGAAGCAAAGCTTACCTTAAGCTTGGACGAGAGAGGGCTGTAGAAAAGAAGAAAAACTTAGTTTTAAAAGTACAGCATGCTTACAAACAAATGTCACTAAAATGACTATAAAAAACCAGAGTGTCTCTGCATTCTAATATTAGCACAGAACATTCCCAGGGCTGAGATACTGCCACCAGCTTCTGTGGTTCAAAGGAGAGCTACAGCATGTGTTCGTTTCCTCCGACAGCCAATTGCTACCTAAAGGTCCCAAACAGGCTACAGGTGCTTTTCACACCCCATGAACATTTTAAAATTTCAGTTTGAAACAGATTATGACAGAAGAGAATTACATTGGAATTACCCATAGTCAGACAAGTAACCTTCAAGTGTTCACATAAACTATGATAGAGAAAAATTTACCAGGCTCATACAGTGAACTATAAATAATGAGACATAATTTGGGGTACAATGATCTAAAGATACCGTGCTCATAGCACGTTCAAGTAAGTATCTCAAACATGTACGCCACACAAAGAAGCTGTGAGCTCCTTCGGGAGGCCAGTGCAGGTGTCTGCATTGAGCATACTGAAAGTAAATTACCTTTACTTTAAAGGTATCTACTGTTCTAAATATGTAATGAGGATGACGCTGCCTAGCACAGGAAAACCATCTTCAGAGAGCCGAATGGACATATCCATCTGAACCTGGAGCTCTCCCCAGGCTGGTCTCCAGCACGGTCAGCTCCCCAAGCAAAGGCTCTCTTTTCTGCACAAGCTAAGCGGCATTGCTTGGGATTGTTTCCTTATCAATAGCAGAGCTTTAGTTTACTGCCCATTTCTCTGAAGAGGAGGAGACAAAGTTACCAGTAGAACAGAAAGTCCTTTATCCTTTGTAGTGTGGACTGGGGGCCTAAGCTTGGAAAAAGGCCCTCCGTAACCACTATCACTCCTTTAGCCTTCAGAGCTCTGAGCCGTCCTATGAGGAATTCAGAACAAAGATATGCAGAACAACAAGCTTAACTATTAGGATAATTTAGTCTTAAAAACCTAGCTCCTCGACACAGATCAAGCAACTGAGAAGCAGCTGGTAGATGAACTTTTCTTTCATGTAGGTTAAACACTATATACTGTGCTGTTTAGACGGTTCTTTAAAAGGTTACAACTTTTTTTTATGACACACAAACACTGGAAAACAGCCAAAACAACAGTAATGAATATATAGATATACATATTTAATACAATTAAAATAATAATGATTTTAAAAAAACAAGAAAAAGTCATAATGCACAACTTAGATCATTTGACTCGTCTGACCCCTTAGTCAGAAAGTATCAGAATTCTCCACGTTTTCAGTAGAAGGATCCTCTAAGCCTATGGAAACCAGGTGAGGTTTAAAAAGAAATTATTATACTCAGTTTAATTTCTTAAGTTGAAAATGTCAAGAAAACAAAGAAATGGATCATACATTTCAATACTCAATGTGCTGTATATCTTCAATCCACTCCAACTTACTTTAAATAAATTATGTCATACTTACTCTTGATGAGTTGTGCAAATTTTAGCAAGCTGTTCAAAATCTTCACCATTAAACCCCTTTTCTGAATTCCTCAGAGGTGTCACTGTATGTGGCTGGACAGCTTTCCATTTTGTTTCTAAATTTAAAATATTTGTTAGTCACTGGCTCTTACAAAATGTATTTAGGCTCCACTATAATAATTAATGTGCAGTTAGCTTCTCAAGCAACTCAAAACTTAACACAATTAGAAAACAAAGCTATGAAGAGCAAGATACAGACCGTCTGCCTTCCCTCGCCTTCCTTCTGGGCCTTGCCCTTGGTAGGCAGGCTGTCTGACACTAAACTACACCCCCAGCCTGTGCTTTGCAACAGTAACTTGTATCCTTTTAACATGCAAAACCAGGTCATCTAGCTAACTTTCTCCATAGCAAGTTGTTACATTACCACTAACTCCAAGTTCCAGGTCAGTCTACTTACCCCACTGCTCTTGAATGGCAGAAAGATTTGCAAGCAATTGCTCATGATACAGTCGTTCAAGCTGAATGAATTTCATTGCTTTCTCATCTGAATAGAAAATCTGAGGAAAATAGAAATGAAGACTCTCTCCACTAAACCCCAGGTTTGCCAAGGAATGTCCTACACAGGACAAGAAATGTAGACCTGACCAAAAAGATGAGAGATGAGACGACTTGAAGTATTTTTAAACGTAAGCACATCTGACTTGCGGTTCCCTGGCTTAAGTAAGTGCATCTTATCATATGTACACATGTAACAGTGACGCAGAGGGACTTCGGTTCCACACTATCTCCACACAGAAATGAAAAGTTTTACCTAAGGACTAAACTTTTAGAAGTCATTAAAGCAATGAAGAGCAAGATACAGACTGTCTGCCTTCCCTCTCCTTCCTTCTGGGCCTTGCCCTTGGTAGGCAGGCTGTCTGACACTAACCTAATTTACAGGTCTACATTCATTCATTCCATCTGATTGGAAAGAGGGCCCACAGGAGATCTTGGAGTCTGTGTGTTTTCTCTAATTTCTCTCCTTAGATGACTTCCTGACACCCTTCAGGCAAGTGTTTCTTTCTGGTTCCCTGACCCTTTTCTTACTTTTAATTGGACACTTTTCTCCCATGAGTCAAAAGTATCACATGCTAATTAATGGAAACATGACACGACATGGGTCTTTTATAAAAAAATTAATTCACTGCAGTGACTTTCCTAATTATCATGAAGTTCCAGTTTTTCGTTGTTGTTGATCTTCTTGTGACCTTTTGGTGTCCCATCTGTATCACACAGACTTGCATCTAAGGATGTCACAAAATACTGTCCAACTGTCCAGCTTCCTCTGGGCAATGTTCTAAATGTCGACCCAGAAAAGAGAGAGGACAGGAAAGTTCAGCTCTGTGTCCTTCCCACGAGCACTAAGAGGCTCAGCCCCCCTTTCCTGTATCACCTTAACAATCCTTGAGACCATAAGGTGGGCCCAGAAGAAGCAGCACAAGTCCCCCGCTTCCTCTGTCCAGGACTGAATGCTTCCTATTCCGATGCTTATGTCAGCTGTACTGGGAAACATCATTTTGTTGGTTACTAGTGAGGACCTAATCTTTCCTTTGTAGCAATATACATCTGTGCATCATAAAACATTTCTATTAGTGAGGAGACATTAAAACTTAAATTTAAATTGCCTAATGATGCAGATGGATCTTAACATGATATTTTCCAAACAACAAAACTACCTAATGATGTCTTTTTCTTCACACGGCCCTGTTGTGCACAGCTTAGGACCACGCTTGCAGCATGCAGTCAGAGGAGTTACTGTCTGTTGCCGTCTGGCATGCTCGCTCCACCATGTCAATGTCTGACTCGTGTGCAAGAGAGTCAAGTCGAACAGAGTTTTAATGTTTTCCTTCCTGGCAGCACGTGTTTTCCCCATTCTCCTGACCATAAATATTTAATGTTGGTAAACGTAGGGCTTCTTTATGGAAAGCCACATTTAGATGGTCTAGGGGGTTTTCTGGAGTGATGTGTTTCCTACACTATGCTCTTTGAGGTGGTTATAAGTGCATGCTCAACTGCCAAAACTTGCTGAAACCATTTGGTCTGCACATCTTGTTGCATGGACCTCAATTTAAAAAAAAAAAAAAGATGGTTCTTCCAAGTGGTCTATGAACTCCTGTCTGTAATTTAGAAAGGATACAGTCCTCTTCCTGGAAATAAGTTTCCGCTACCTGGAAAGACAGAAGAAGATAGAAGAATTTGAGTGAAAGGGCACGCTTGGGGAGACAGCAAGCTCTCGTAAGGCTGCTTTGATAGGCTACTGCCAAACATGACTTCTCCATAGCCATGAGCTCCGAGGAACTCTGTAGGCGCAGTCAGCAAAGCTAGCACAGACATTCCTCAGCCTCCACACCACTATGTTCTTCCTAGTCTAGTCAACCTAGCAAGTTTCATTTAGTCCCTTAAAAAGTAAGAATGCTTAGGGATGAGGGGAAGGCTATAGGCTTACAAAGGTGCAGCAGGGGTCGACAGGTTAAAAAGATCATTGTTATAAATTAAAAGTTAGAGATGAGGTCAGGGGGATGAGGTCAGGGAGATGAGGTCAGGGAGATGAGGTCAGGGAGATGAGGTCAGGGAGATGAGGTCAGGGAGATGGCTCAGTGGGTTAAGATGTGAGATGTGTCTGCCTAGGCTGACAACTTGACTTCAAGCCATGTGATCCATGAGGTAGAAGAAAGAATGAGTTTCTCTAAATTTATCCCCTTACCTCCACATGAGCACCATGGTGTACACACACACACACACACACACACACACACACACACAGAGCAGAAATGTCACATTACATGAGACCTTAACACCATTTCATTTCTAGTTTAAAAACTACCAGCTCAAAACCTCATGGGACTCTGGTTTTTGTGTGTGTGTGTGTTTGAGAGGACGTCTCATGTAGCCCAGGGTGGCCTTCAATGCTGAGAATGACCTAACTCCCACCTTTCAATGGTTGGGCTGTAATGAGGTAAGAGTATGCTCTGATATTTTTATTTATTAATTTTTTAGTGTGTTTGTATGTGCATGCATGTGCACATTAGAGTTTAGTGTGTTTGTATGTGCATGCATGTGCATATTAGAGTTTGAAATGGGGTGTTGTCTGCAATTGTTCTTCATCTTTATTATTGGTATTATTTTTGAGAATGTATTGTACTATGTAGCCTCAACCTCAGAGATCCACCTGCCTCTGCTTCCTAAGTGCTGGGATTAAAAGGTGTGACCATGCCTGGCCATGCACCTTCTTTTTTGACTCAAGGTGTTCCATAGAACCTGGAGCTCACCTGTTAGCTACCCTGAGTGGCCAGTTAGCTCTTGAGATGTGTGTGGGGGCCTGGTCACCACCACTGCTGCCTTGCTTGTTCCCTTGCTTGCACGGAGACTGGGGATCCAGACTCAAGTTCTCATGCTTGCAGAACAGGCACTTTCCCACCTGAGCCATCACTTCCGTCCTGTTTTAAAATAGTTATTTCGTTTTTAATCATGTGTATGACTGTGTGTGGGTGTATCCATGTGAGTGGAGGTGGCTGCAGAAGCCAGAGGCATCTGATTCCTTGGAGCTGCAGTTAGATGCAGCTGTGATCCACGTGGTGCAGGTGCTGGTAGCTGAACTCAGGTTCTCTGGAACTGCACTACATGCTCTGAACTGCTCAGCCATTTTTCCAGCCCTGTGCCTAGACCTATTTATTTTTGGCACAAGATTTCTTGTAGCACAGGCTTCCCCAAAATTCACTATATAGCCAAGGATGATTCTGAACTGCTGGTCTTTCTGCTTCTACTTTCTGAGTGCTAATTATAGGCCTGGTGTTGTACTGCTATTTTTAAAAAGACCAGGCTAGCTGATACAGTGCTTGGCCAGCATGCCCCCGGCTCTGAATCCAATCCCTAGAACCATAGACATAGCTTGGGGATGTATGTAACTCAGTGGCAGTGGGCTTCCCTAGTGTGTGTGTTTGTGGGGGGAGGGCAGTCATAACAACAACAACAACAACAACAACAACAACAACAACAAGGGAGATAGACCCAGGGTAAGTAAACTGTTAACAGTTTAACATGTGCAGTGCCACAAATATACAGAACTAGAGAGAGTCTGAGAGAGTCTGGTCTCAGGAGCTGATTCCAGAAAGGACTTTTCACTTAACAGTTTGATTCTAAAGGATCTTTAAACTAAAAAAAAAGAAAACAAGAAAAAAATCAGGCATGTACTTTAATCTCTGCTACTAAGGATAAGGCAAAAGAGTAGCTTGAACCCAGGAGTTCAGGGCCAGCCAGGACAAACTGAGCCCTGTCACAGACAGATACAATAAATAAATTAATTATTTAATTAATTAAGAATTTCTTCCATTTAAAAACTTCTGAACTCCACTTCGTCTCTGGCCCTCAGTCTCCCAGGTGCTTCCTCCCTGCAGCCCACCTGGCTTTGCAGTCATGTGCATGCGTGCTCACATTTATTTTCAACCCAGTGCTCACTAATCCAGCAGTACGTCACCAGATACAGGAACGTACAAAAGTGAGCACAATATCATTTTACACTTTAACATCGACACTTGAGTCCATATATCCAACTTTGCCAATCTTTCCTGGGCTGCTAGTGACCTTGAAACACTAGGGACAGATGGCCTCTGCCCTCTGCAGGAAGCTGCACGCCCTGCCTCGAGTGCTGTGTGGAGGTAAGGCCAGCCCCCAGGCCCACACCAAGAGATGTGAAATGCAGCCATACTTTATTTCCCACTGAATAACCCCTTTGCATAATTTTATCTGGTGCTGATGTTAAGTACTTATGTTCCCATAAGAGTTCAAAATTGTCTTTTCCCTAATAAGCAGCGACCTTTGCTGTGTATTTCTGTGGGATAGTAACATGGCTTTGAGAAACGGGACAGCCCCAATGCTGACACTGGAGAAATGCAGCAAACACGTAAAGAAATATCCATTCATGCTCTGTGTTCAACAACTTTATGGGCCCGGGAGGGAGCTGGTGGTACAGCACAGGCCTGATGGTTCAAGGCCTCGGGTTCAATACACAGCACAGGAAAATAAGTAAACACAAGGATAACTGTACTCTGAGGTGATTATCTTCGTACTGTGCGCCCTGTAATGCCACAAGGACAACCCAGTTCTGGGAGTTCTCACCAATGTTTATACTGAACTTTTCAGTTGAGTCGCTGAATTTTTATATAAGTAGGTGATTCTCATATTCTGGGTGTCTACATATATATTTTATTTTTATATTTGGGGAAAAAAACTTAAGACACTTTTTAAGACCTTCATAAGACAGTATTTATGACCAGACCAGTATGCTGAATTATTAACAAATTTTAGCATAACTGGCCATACTTAAACTATTCCACATAACTATTTTTTACATTACACTGCTATCACATCCATTATTTTCTATGTGTATCTGTGTGGGTGTATGACTGCTACGTGTGGCTATGAGAGGAACACTTGCTGGAGTCAGTTTTCTCTTTCACAGTGAGAGTTCCAGGGACTGGCTCAGGACTCCAGGCCTGATGACAAGCACCTCTGCAAACTGAGCCATCGCACCAGAGCTTACACACTCAGAATGGGTTCTACTGATTCCTCTAGGTTTTTAGTCTAAGATTTCATTTGTAGATCACTGTCTCTGCTTCCTAGGGACCTGCCATTACAAAGAACAAGAAGGTAGCTATTAAACTTATACCCAGCAGTGGAGAGGAGCAACAGTAGTCAGATCTCCCAGAAGAAACAGTGTGTGTAGAGAAAATTTTGAGCTTATATACTGATACGTTATGTATCAGTTTAAGTTAAAAAAACCAAATTATACATATTATGAAGATGATTAAATACTTTGTTATAGAATTTCAGTTTACTTTGCAAATTTTAAAAGAACTAAGTTGTTTCGAAGAGTCTGTGTTTATCAAATCATTCTACTATGTTACAGATATATTAAGATGAACTACTGGAAACTGCCAATCCTTGACCATATGTAAATCCTCTGATTGAGAAAGTCATGTAATGGTGTTACCAGTGGCATGCTGGGAAACCTTTCAGAGCTGGTTCTTGGGTGTTGGGGAAACTAAGGTCCACCATTTCTGTCATATCTAGTGTGGAGCTGCCAACATCTGGGGTATCACTCAGTATAATCACCCTGAGCTAGAAAAGGCAGGTTCCACTGTAGGGTAATGCCTTACAGAAACTGCTAGAAACCTTCGTATACAGACTTCTAGAGAAAACTAAACAGGGCTATACAGAATTCTTCTCCTGGACATGAAAATAAAATGCCTGCCCCTTTAAAGGTCACCTGCCTTGCCTTTTGTATTTGTGCCCCACTGCACACAGTTAGCTACTAACTGCTCCCACTCGAGAAGTGTTCATGGATTTCATTACTATTATATTATAAGATGGGGGTGGGGCTGCAGAAATGTAATTTTTTGTAAAATGTAAATATAAAGTCAGTTTTTATGTTTTCTGTGTCAGTTGTTGTTGTTATCTGAGCTAACCTTGAACTCACTATGTAGACCAGGCTGGCCTCAACCTTGCAGCAATCCTCCTGGGTCAGTGCTGAGATCACAGCTGCACACTGCCCCATCTGTGAGTTCTGAACCCATGAGGATAACAAAACCCATGGCTCAAAAGTAAATGCAGTTCTGGGTAAAAGGGAAAGGTCAGAACAGACAGACAGAATCTTCACCCTGTAAAAGTCCAGCAGGACAATGAAGAGAGTCTTGATGTCCCATTTATCTAAACTGGAAAAGCAGCCCAGCAGAGCAGATGGCTCATGGCTTTATGGGTAAACGACCTGATTGCATCATTTTCATCTTAAAAATGGTCAGAGCCACCCACATCCTCAAGAAACAAAGCTGTGCCTTCTACCTCACCTTCCCTAGTGTATGGGAGTGGATCACTGTGCACTGGGCTGCAGCCAGACTCTGCGACATTGTCTCATGCTGTAGCTCAGGTTGTCCTAGAACTCACTATGCAGCCCAGGCTGACCTTGAACTACCAAGATGCTCTTGTCTCAGCTTCTGACTACCCCAAACCCCCACCAGTTAATCATTTTGTAACCCTGCTTTGGTGGATACTTAGTATCCATCAGATGAATGAATGAACGAATCCCTTAGAAGATGGGGATGGGCGGAAATTGAGCCATCCAATGTCTCCCTCCTCTCTCTGAAGTCCCAGAAAGTCTCTGAAGTCACACCTAGTGAGTGAAATCAACCAACTGGAAGTTACTGGCTTCCTCAATCCCTTCCTCAACCCTTGGGAGGGGTTGGCAGGAAAGACTCTGAGGTTCTCTTGGCCACCTCAATAAGATGCCTGGATTTCTCCAGAAGGCCCAGAACCCTGCAGGGATAGAGACTTTGCTTACTTAATAGGACCTCCACCAACATTTGCATTCTTAAAGTTCTAGTACAATTACGTTTCCTTCCAATCATTATCACTAGCATAACCTAGGGATGTGGGAGGCCAGTGCTTTTCCTCCTCAGGAGGGGTGTGAGGGAGGAGTATTTTCCTCATGTTCAGAACTTGGGAACACTCAGGACTGAGTTTGCCATGTACTAAGCAAGGTCAGTCTTCCTAGAGGCAGGGAGCTTCCAGGGCAGCAGGGAGCTTTCAGTGCATGCCTGTAAGAAAGCGATAGCCTCTGGCACTTTGATCTATTTTTCAGTAGAAGCAAGCAACTGAAAAAAAGTTTAACCTATATTTTATTTTTGAAGTTCTTTCTGTCAATATTACAGACACCTTTGCTATTTTTTTTTTTTTGCTTGCTTTTTGAGACAGGGTGCCATGTAGCCCCTTCCAAGTGTTGGTGGTGTACACCACCACACTCAGCTAGTATGTGCTATTTCTTGATTTCTCTTTCCTCAATAAAGGATGAATTGCTAAGTTCTTTGCTGGTGGCCGTCCCAACCTTACAAACACACAGTCATTCTCTCACATGGTCATCTATTCCAGTTATTATTCTAAGACGGTGGGTAAATATCTTCTTTACCTTCTTATAAGCCAATTCATGCAGGACACTATTTCTTTGTCTGAAAAGAATTTTGTTTTTCTTGGAGCTGTTTGGGCCCACCTCAACCCCATTCCCCGGTGCAGGGGACTGGACATGTTCAGCTTACACTCTTCCCAGAAACCATATCCTCAATATAATTATATTAATTAAAAAAACAAAACTAGATGCCCTTGTACCTCCCTTTAATCCCAGCACACAGGAGCAGGCAAATCTCTGGAAGATTGAGGCCAGCCCATCTACACCACAAAGGAACATTCTCAGCTTACCTGGAGGGCCAAAGCTCCTGGAAAACACAGAGACAGATTGACTGATAGGAATCCAGGATTGAGAGACAACAGACACAGACCACACGGAGCATGGCAGGCCATGGTAAAGGAACACTGTGTGCAAACTCAACCCACTGTGTGAATGCAGCAAAGGCTGAAAGCCTTGGTGTAGGGGCAAGGATGGCAAGTTAGCAAGGCTGTAGCGGCCAAGCAGCAAGTCACGAGTTCAAGAGTCACACAGCGGATAACACAGATCTGTAAGTATATGCACCTTTTGCCTTGGTGCAAAAAGTATTATACTTAAAAAAAAAATTACTACTCTTTAACTACAAAGGTTGAAATGGGGAAATGAGATAGAAGAAAAATGAAGGGCCAGAAGTGTAGCTTGTTTGGCATTGTACTTGCTCACCCTGGGACTTGATCCCTAGACTCACATAAATTGGGTATGCTGGTTCATGCCTGTAATCAAATCATTGGTGGGAGGAGGCAGGAGGATCAGAAATTCAAGGCATCCTGAGTTACACAGACAGAATACATGAAACGCCATCTCAAAACCAAACCAAACCCAAAACAGAAAAGCTTTCTCTAGGACCAATTATTTTCATTGTAACCGCAGACAAAGTGCAAACCACAAATATTTAAAGTTTGCCCAAGGAATCTCATACATTAGAAGGCTTCCCACTGCTGTCCCGAAGGGCTCCCCTTTCCATGTTCTCTACCTTTCAATACACTGACCTAATCATCAGAAGAATTCTATTTCTAAAATCCAAGTTGTATTCCAGGTATCTGTGGTGTCACTCACCATGGCAAATACTCTCTCCCTGCTGCGAGCTCCTTGCCCTCATTTCACCTCTGTCCTTTTCCAGCCACACCTTTCACAGCTCAGTCACTACGCTGTGATAGGAAACTTTTAAGAATTTTAAAAATTTTATATGTATGGGGTTTACATGTATGCAACTCTTGCATGTCTGAGGCCTGCAGGGGCCAGAAGAAGGTGCTGGGATCCCCTGGAACTAGAGTTTCAGACAGTTGTGGGCTGCCCTGTGGATGCTGAGAGTTGAACAAAGGTCTTGTGGGAGAGCAGTAAGTGCTTTAACAGCTCCAGCACCTACTCATCCTGACCAACCCAGCTTAGGAGCTGCCTTCTTTTCTCTGTTGCTGACTGAGCAAAGCTAACTGCTTGTCTTGTGCAGCTGACCCTTAGACATGTCTACTCTGACATGTACAAAGCCCCATGCTCGGATCTGCACACTCGTGCCCTCCCCCCATGCCCTCTTTAGAACAGGCATTAGGAAGCCTTTGTTCCTTCAGTGGCCAGCAGGCCTCTTGGCACTCAGCTGGAGCTTACTAAACTCTTCCCATATTGATTTCTATTTGTACTTAGCTGAATCACTCAATAAAGGTGTTGGATACTTGACCAAATAACAAATCATCTAAGGCCAGGGTGTGTCCACCACCCAGAATATGCCAAATTTTCTACCAGCTATGCACTTAGGGTCAAGAGTGGGCGGGATGAGTCAACCGTGGAGAACCAGGTTTTAGGTGGGTGTGATGTCATACCTGGTGAAGGAAGAGGGGAAGAGCCCTAGAGTCCATCTGCTCCACCTCGCCTCGGATCATCGAGAAGAGTGGCTGTAGTGATGGCGCCTTGGGCGGGTCATTCCCTTTCATGCTGGCAGTCTCCTCCTCGCCAGCAGCCAGCAACTCTGCATCCAGTGTCTGCATTACAGGTAAGGCATCACCTATAGAAAGTGAAAAAAAAAAACAACCACATTAGGCGAGACCGAACTGACAATTGCATTCATGATACAATTTTCAAGTAAAAGTAACCCAGAAACAGCAAGTTGCTGTCCTCCTTCAGTGGATGATGCTTTGCTGTTGCTAGGAGCACTGATGCAACCATTTCTGCAGAACTCTCACGGAGGAGAAGGAAGAAGGGACTGAGGAGTCAAGGATTCACTCCACAAGCATGAGAACCCAAGTCAATGCCCAGAAGTCCTGTTAAAAAAAAAAGCTGGACATGGTAGCACACTCTGTTAATCCCAGTGCTGGAGGGTCAGACAGGTGAATTCCTAAGGCTTGCTACCAGCCAGCCTAGCCCTTGGTGAGGTACAGCCTGGGAAGAGACTATGTCTGAGGAAAACCAAAAGTGGTTGCTGCTTAGGGACTGACATCTACTGTTGTCTTCTGGCCTCAATATGAAGACACACACACAGACACATACACAGGCATACACACAGCATATCATAAAAGATAAACAAAGAAATATATGCAACTTACTGCCTGATCAAAAACTTGATTCGATTCTCCCAATAGAAAGGTACACTATACTCTTGAGGTTCTGGCTCAAATTAGAGGGCCCTGAACAGGAAGGTAAACATGTCACCCTGTGAGACAGCTAAACAAATGGAACCTCCTCAACGTTAGAGCTACTTGTAGGTCCCAGGAGACTGCGGGGACTCAGGTAGCAATGCTAACCCCAGTGAGGTGATTTCCCCAGAGAGAAAGCACTGCAAACTTCTGAGTTGTCACTGCTAAATGCTGAGTCCAGCCAAGGCCCATGAGATGCGCCCACATTTTCCACTTTAACTGTTATCAGCGCTAACCCCATCCTCCACCAGAACCGCAGTATTGATTCCAATGTTCATGTTCAAATCAAGTAAGCTACCGATCTCTGTGGCGACCATCATTCAGCTTGTCTGTCTCAAAGGGTCTTTCCTAGTAATAGAAGACAAGCAGCCCTTTCCTTCCTTTGGCCCAGACCCTCCCTGCCTTTCTCTGTCTACCAAATAAACCCAATACTTTTATAGACTAGTACACTCTTTATATCCCTAGGAAAATACTCCATACCTCTCTTAGTTGTTACACATTTTAAAAGCTGGAAGAGTCCTCATCCACTTCTACCTATTTATGTTCTACACACACACACACACACACACACACACACACACACACGCACCATGAACTGCAGAGATGAATCACCCACACCTATATCTTAGGTCTTAGGACAATGTTCTCTACTGAGACACAGTCCATAAGTCAAAGAGCTTTGGACAGGGAGGAGCCAGGGCCCTGCTGCAGCATTATTTCTCAGAGTGACCTTAGAAGTAGAATGCTACTCATCACAAATGGACATGAGTTCTCAAATCTTTCCTAGGTTTGATCAACTACAACAGTCACGATCCTCACAGAGACTTTGATGATTAAATAACACAACAAGTGCTGGCCTGGTGGTACACATTTGTAACCCTGGCAGTTGGCAAGCAGGAGGAGGAAGATCTGAAGTTCTGTGCCATCTTGAGCTACACACAGAATTTGAAGCCAGGTAATCTGTTACAAACAACAGCAGTACTGGAGAGCTAGATGTGGGAAAATTCCTGAGGCTTGCTGGCTAACTACTATAGGAAACCATTGAGCTCTGGGTTCAGTGAGAGACTATCCTCTTTAGGGTTGCAATTGTTATGATAAACACCAAGATTAAAAGCAACTTTGGGGGAGGGGTTTATTTGGCTTATACTACCACAGCACTGTTCATCATGGAAGGAAAGCAGGACAAGAACTCAACAGGGCAGGAATGTGGAAGCGGGAGTTGATGCAGAGGCCATGGAGGAATGCTGTTTACTGGCTTGCTCTTCATGTTTTTTGCTCAGCCTGCTTTCTTACAGAACCAAGGACCACCAGCCCAGGGATGCCATTACCAACAATAGGCTGGGCCCTCTCACATCAATCACTAATTAAGAGAATGCCCCAGTCTTGCCTACAGCCCCATCTTATGGAGGCATTTTGTCAATTAGGGTTTCTGGGGGCTGGAGAGATAGCTCAGCGGCTAAGAGCACTGACTGCTCTTCCAGAGGTCCTGAGTTCAAATCCCAGCAATTGCATGGTGGCTCACAACCATCCGTAATGAGATTGAATGCCCTCTTCTGGTGTGTCTGAAGACAGCTACAGTGTACTCATAAATAAAATAAATAAATTAAAAAAAAATTAGGGTTTCTGCCTCTCTGATGTCTCTAGCTTGTGTCAAGTTGGCATAAAACAAGCCAGCACAGAAACTCAGTCTCCAATCAATCAATCAATCAATCAAATATAAAATAATAAGGTGGACAAGCAATTGAAAACACCTGACATAGATGCCTGACCTCCCCAAATACAAAAAATTAACAATAACATTTTTTTAAAAAAGAAAGAAATATAAGGCAGTGGGACTTGTTTAATAGTATGAGGCCTGGGACCCCATTCCTTGCACAGCAAAAAAAGAAAAAGAGGAAGAGGAGGAGGAAGAAGAAGAGGGGGAGGAGGAAAAGGAAGATGAAAAGAGAAGGAAGAGGAGAAAAAGGAGGAGGAGGAAGAAGAGGAGGAAGAGGAGGAAGGGGAGGAGGAAAAGGAAGATGAAAAGAGGAGAAGAGGAAAAAAGGAGGAAGAAGAGGAGGAAGAGGAGGAGGAAGAAGAGGGGAGGAGGAAAAGGAAGAAGAAGAAGAGGAAGAGAAGAGGAAGAAAAGGAGGAGAAGGAGGAACACAAGGAGGAAGAAGAAGAAGAAGGAGGAGGAGAAGGAGAAAGAGAAAGATCGAAAACTTTTTTGCCCAAGAACCAGAGAAAAGACAATCTGGAAGCCAGACAGCCTGCTTCCAACATGTATTTCCTCTACTTCTGCCAAGTTACTTAAACTCTGACTCCCTAGCTTTGTTTTGGCTTCTCTGCAGCATGGGGAAAATAGAATCTACCTTCTAAGATCACTATCTCTAAATAAACTAGTGGATACAGGTGGAAAAAACAAGGTGTGTTCAGACCCTCACTGTCATGTAAAAGATCATTAAGACATAAAACTGCACACCCCACCTCCTTTTAAGAAAACCATTTGGAGGCAAACAGCAGTAAAGCTTATACCCCTAATGTACTGAGTAAGAGCTAAGCTGGGGCTGGAGAGGCTCAGTGGTTAAGAGCACTGACTGTTCTGAGTACTCATATAAATAAATAAATAAATAAATAAATAAATAAATAAATACATCTTTAAAAAAAAAAAAGAGCTAAGCTGGACACAGTGGCACTCTCTCGTGGCCTCAGCATTTCAAAACAGAGGCAGAAGAATCAGTTCCAGGTCGTCCTTTGTTGCATAGAAAATTTAAAGCCAGCTTAGACTAAGTAAAAGGCCCTTCCCCCACAAAAGCAAAATATAAGAATAAAAAATATCTTGCCATGGTGGAGTATTCCTTTAATCCTGGCATTAGGAAGGCAGAGGAAGGTGAATCTGTGAATTCCAGGCCAGACTAGTCTACAGACAGTTCTGGAACAGCCAGAGCTATACACAGAAACTCTGTCTCAAACAAACAAACAAACAAACATGAAACAAAACAAAAGACTAACAAAAAACACTTAAAAGAAGCATGTAGGATAGTTACAGACTTGGTTCAATGTTTACCAACACTGTTACTGTGAACATGGGTAGGCTTGTGTCCCCTGTATAGCAGTAACATGCAATTGCTTTCCAAGTTGGCTTCTTTTTTAGTCAGACACTCAAGTTTCCTTCACGTCTTCCCATGGCTTCATATATCATTTCTTCTCAGCACTGAATGGGCTTGTTTTAGTAGGGCAACAATTAAGAAGAGAAACACAGAGTAACAATAGACTCACAGACTAACAAGATGTGTACCTTTCTGTTGTACTAAATGACTTTATAATATAATAGCTACTTGAACATTCACAGTGTAATATGGAAGCTCAGTGGTTGTTCATGTATATTTCTAAGTAATTTTGATATTGTTACATTTGGCAACAATGCCCTATAAGTCTTATAAATGTTTCGCTTTAAGAAGGTTAATTATGTGTCATGAGTTATCACTAAAATTCTTTGTGGTACATAAAAAGTTCTCTTGTAAAAACACATTTATAGTTAAGTAAACAATAAAAACATGAACTGCCACATGCAATGTCCCCTTCACTATAAAGTCTCGTTGAATACAGAGATTGCTCTGTGTACTGTACATGAGTCTAGATGGTTAAAGAGAAACAAGAACCTCTATTTACCTTCCTTTTCAAAACCACGTGAGTTACAGTTAAAGAACCCACCAAACAAGGTGAGGATGCTATTTATACATTTTGCAGATGACAGGCAAACTCACAAGCCCTAATTTAACTTAACACCTGTCAACCTTATTAAGCTCTAAAAAAAGAGAACACAGTTCAACACTTGTCTGTTAAGGTTTCATTTAGCATTTATACTTGAATTTAGCAGAAGACTGAGAAGCAATTTTGTTTGATTTAAAAATTTGTAACAGCTTTGGGGCAAAGATCAGACAGTTTATCTTGACTGAGAAACATTTATCCAGTTCTGTGTCCCTGGCACATAACTGATCCATTCAACTTAGAACCTGACGGTGGCCAAGAAGCACTTTGCAGAGCCCAGGGATTATCTTCTAACAGCCTTTGTCTTGAAATGCCAGGACTGCACCCTGGTGTGCATGCCCCTTGTATCTGCCATCTGCGAGCTCAGCAGAGATGTGACTACTGGCTTATGGGCAGAGGAACTGTGTGACTGGATCATTTAAAGGCAGAAACCTGAGTGTGAGACATTATCCCAGACAGATGAGAACTGAAGGGTCTAGAAGGCAGCAATGACCAGGTAAGCATAGTACTGATAGAGCCCTAGAGTTAGGTTTTTCAAAGCAAAATGCAGGAGAGGCAGCCCCGCTCTCCCACGTCCCTTTTATCTGACTTGTCTCTGTTACCTGAAGAACTGACAAGGTG